TGAGCAAATGATGGTTAATGTGCGCTGGAAAAGACGGAAGAACAACGCGATATACTGAGTGTCTTAAGATCCTAATAATACGGGTCTAGCTCTACAGGAGAAAACATTCAGGAGCTCCAAGCAGAAAGAACCAGGTTCGATCCTTAGGTTGGGTCTGAGTGGTCTGAAGAAGAGAAATCTGGGGGTGGGGAGGGGAGAACAGGGTATGGGAGGTGCCTTAAGGCCGTCTCAGGGAAGAAAGACTAGCCTTGCTCTGCCTGGCTCCACGTGGCCAGGAGACTCGGTCAGGAGAATCTATCAGAGTCCTGCTCCAGGGCATGAATGGGCTGCCTGGAGAGGGGGTGAGCTCTCTGTCCCTGAAGGCTGCCAGGAAGAGGCTCGACGCTCCCTTGCTGGGGATGGCTGGGGACCGGGTGGGCTCAATGCCTCTGAGGTTCCTTCCGGCCCCTCTGAAAGCCCAGCCTCGCCCTGCATCCTCCTGGAGGCCTTTGACCTCTACTCCAGACCCAGCAGAGCACTTTGCTTGGAATCCTTATGCACGTGTCACGTAGTATGGAGTATTTCTTCCCACTGATAGAACGGAAGCTCACTGAGGGCAAAGAGCCTTTTCTCTGTCCTTTATCGCCAGCCCTGGGCAAACAGGAGGCACTTAAGGAGAGCTTGTGGGTTAATTTCTCAAGGTCACAGACTCTCAGGGTTGGAAGAGACCCCAGAGGCCAACGGCGCCTGCCTAGGAACGGGTGGTGTGGCCTGTCCCCTTGGTGGATTCTGAAGCAGCCAAAAGGCAGAGACGGCCGTCATCTGGGTGTGCTGGCCTCGATTCCCCTGAAATCTCTCTCTCTCTCTCTCTTGAGGAGGAGGAGGTGGAAGGCGCAGACCTGACCCCTTCCCTGACCCCTGGCAGTGACCCCCCGTGGGGGCCTCCCTCTGGTGTGACTCCTGGGGCTACAGCGAGGGCGTCCTCAGGAGCGGCAGGCAGTCCCAAGAGCCGCCGTGCATGCCGCATCAAAGAGCCAGCCCAGGCGCCTCAAGGCCTGTGGTCTGCGGAGAGTGGCCTGTGGGTGACCAGAAAGCTGGCCTTGCGGACACTGACCCCCACAGCCGGGCGCTGCTAAGGGGCCACTTCTCCCTCCTGAGTCCTCCTGGCTCCCGGTGGGGGGGGCCGTGCATGGGGGCGGCCCCTGGGCTTTGCCAACAGGCCACAGCCTGGTCAGCATTTACAGCAGGCAGGACAACACCCAGCCCTGGCCCTGAGCTCCTATTACGTCAACTCCCCCAACATCCTCTGGGAGGGAAATGACAGGCGCTTCCTGCCCCAGCTGGGAAAGCCAATATATCTATCAACTATTGGCAAATAGGAAGAGGCCAGCAGAGCATTTTCCAAAGACACGTTCGTGGCGATAATATGGTGAGAGGGAGGGCCCCATTTCTATCCACAGGCACACAGACTCATGGACAGAAATAGAAGGGCTCAGAGAGCCCCTGCTCCAACTCCTTCACTGCAGAGACGAGGAGACTGAGGCCCGGCGCGTCTGGTGACTTGTCCAAGGTCACCAAGCTCATGTGTTCACAGGCTCCCCGATCAGAGGCCAACCAGCAGGGAAACCGAGGCCCACCAAGTCCTCCAGCCCACACCAGCACTTCCTTTGCCCTTCTTATTCACTAGGAATAATGCGGAAAGCCTCTTTCTTGAAGGAGGAAGTCAGAGGAATGTGCCCCAGATCACAACAGAGACGTGCATCTGGGCCCGATGCTCGAGGCGGGGCCCTTCACATTGATCAGAAATGGGCAAGGGCTCTGTGGGGAATTCGGCCTGCAGGCGAGATGGCCACCCATCCAGCTGGCCCGGGGTGGGCCAGGAGCAGCCCGCAGCCCCCAGCAGGCCCAGCTCCCTTCATGCTCAGCTCCAGCCCAGGCTGATAAAATACAGAAATGCTACTGTAACCCCTCCAGGCTTATTTTGACTAAAGCTTAGGAATGTAACATGTAAACACTGACTCCCATATTACACTGTGTTACAACTTGCATTAACAGCGCTGGACAAAGCATCATTTTCCCAGAGCCCTCGGACTGGGGAGATCTCTCCGGCGGCTTTGAATTAAAAAGCGAGAGTCCATTTCCTCACATAAATCATGGTCAGGACCAAACAGGCGACTGACTGCATTGCAGACCCCTGGGAACAATAACACAGAGGGTTGCTCAGCGACAAAGCTCGGGGGCGCAATCGATGGGATGGTTTTTTCTCGGAATAAATATACACGGCGTTTTCTTTCTTTACACAAAATGTTTGTGGTCAGATGTGTCCTGGTCAGATGAGGCAGGGAGGATTCCAGCCTTGGTGGGCGGTCTGCCATGACCCGGAGGGCCCAGGAGGCCATGCCAGGGGCCCTGGGCCTCTGCTCCTGCTGGCCCTGCAGTGCCCACCCCCTTCTCCTCCTCATTCTGATTTCAAAGAAAAAGCTCCATCCCTTCCCAACTGGTCGCCGCCCGCTCCGTGCCAACCTGGATGACTACGGGGAGAGCCCAGGCGGCTGCTGGAGGCCTCTGCCAAGCAGCAGGCTCCATCCTTGGCCCTTGGATTCCCGGCACCTCACACACAGGCCCCGGGGCGCTTTGCCTTTGTCAGCCCAGCCCTGGGCAGCCTGGGGCTTCAGGTCGTCAGATAACTGAAGGAAATGTTCAAGGCTGGCCTGAGGCTAATGAACACCAGGTAGGAACTCCAGTTAATAAATGCCCGCTGGCTGATAGAATGCTTCTGCAAAGCACTTTTCAAATATCTCATTTAGTCCTCAAAGTAAGCATGGGAGGTTTGTGCTAGTATGACCTCCATTTTACAGAAGAGGAAAAGGAAGGCAACAGTAGTTAAGTGACTTTGCCAGGGTCACACAGCTAGTAAGTGGCCAAGGCAGGACCTGAATCCGGCTTTTCCTGACTCCAACCCCACTCTTTCCACGTGGCGCCCCCTATCGGCCTGTGCAGTCAGACCTGTGAACTGGAGTTGGGACACCCTCTAGGAGCAGAGACAGGTGGTCCTGCGGCCTCCAGCAAAGAAAGCACTCCCTTCCCTGCTCCAAAGAACTCTGATGATTAGGTTACGCACATATCCAGCAGAGCCTACCTTTCTGCAGCCCTGCCTACCTCCGGCCTCAGGACCAGCAAGAGGCTGAGTCCCTGCCTGGCCCCTCTGCCCCTGACCAGGGCCCTGCTACCCATTGCCAGGCCCCAAAGCTCTTGGCCAGCCCCTGTTGCCCTTTCCCAGGCCCATATCCTGAGGCTGGCCCCAGGCCCTGCTGCTGCCCCTCGCCAGGCCCCAAAGCTCTAGGCTAGCCCCTGCTGCCCCCCTCCTCACTGCCTCCCCTGGAAAAGTCTTTCCCCTTTTATTATATTCAGAAGGAAGCAGAAGACTGGGCATTGCCAAGGCTGCCAAAAGCTTCAGCCACTAAGACTTAGGCAGTTTATTTAGTCCATCTAGGCCGGGGGTTTCAACCTGGGCTCTGTGAATATGTTTTAAAAAATAATTTGATAGCTATATTACAATAAAACTGGTTTCCTTGGCAATCCTCTATATTTTATTTCCTGCCCTGGGGAGGACTGTCCCCCGAAGGGGTCCGGGGCCACCCTGGTTCAGAACCTCCCCTCTCCCCCAGGAAGGGTTTCGATGAGCAAAAGCGGCACAAAGCAGGACATGGGAAGAAGCAGGGAGTGCGTGCCCAGAAGGGCCTGGCTCCGGGCAGGCCACGGCCCATTCCCCACCATGGACCCTCTCTTGGGCCTCCCTCTCCTCGGCCCAGCAGGGGGTGGGCAGGCGGGGGCGGGGCTGGGGGAGTAGGGGATAGCGGCAACTTGACTCTTCACTAGGCCGGACGCCAGGCCCTCGACTCCAGGCAAGCGCCCCCTCCCCAACGGGCACCGTAGCAGGTCTGGGGGACTTTCGACACATTCTCCACCTCACTGGACACATTTCCATCGACAATGAGCATTTGCTGCCCTCTGGTGGATTTCTTGTGAAACACCAGGCCAGGGGCCACTGCTCCCCAAATTATCCTGGGCTTTAAAAGGAAACTCAGCATTTAATGCACGCTGGGGCAAGGGAAACAGAGACAGACACAGGCAGGGAGAGACAGGCAGAGAGGGAGAGACAGAGAGAAACACAGAGACAAAGAG